ACTTCATTTAGACCTTTCCCATTATGAGACTTTCCAGTCTAGTAAGCTAGAATTGCTGTTTAAAAACAAAACAAAGGGACAGGAATATTGTGGGAAAGCCCTAGCTCTGCTCAACTGTAACCTCATACAAAGAGCTTCGTTTCTATAGGCCTTGATTTGCTCATTTATGCGATGAAAGCATCGCAGTAGATCATCTTTACAGCCTCTTCCTGGCCCGAAAGTGTTACTGCTATCATTTAAAAGAAGGGGAAACGAAGCTAGTCAGGGTGGTAACTAGATCATTTAAGGGAGCCCTCGAGGAGCTGAAGGCAGATCTGCCAGGTCCCCTGCCCCTCAGGGCTCACTAGCAAAGCAGACAGGTGCTAGTCCATGTGTGTTCCCCAGGTTTGCAGGAATGAGCTGAAGATACTTCTTCCCTGCCCAGAATACTGAAAGGTGACTCTGTGGCCTGGGAAGAAAGCACCTGGTAGTGAAGTTTTTCTAATGCCCAGAATTATGAACAATTTGTTATCTGCCACTTCTCCCTATTTGAGCTAAAAGGGAGATGGAAGAGGAATTTTTAAAAAGTGTGTATTTACATTTGTATTTGTTATTGTACCACTTAGCACTGCTCCATCCCCAGTCCTGGAAATACTTTAGAGCCCTTCGGTCCAGTGGTACAGCAGCAGCAAAAGGTATTAAGCAGAAGTTACACTAAGATCATTAACTCTTCTGGACATGGGAAATGGGAACATTAACCTATGTAGATGCTCTCAGGGAAACATCTTCTGCATTATCAGAGATTGAAGAGAGAGAAATTAATCTCTCTGGGCTGACTCTTGGCTGTGCCATTCATTCACCCAGGCATTCTTTCCTGCTTTCCTGCTCTATGCGGGGCAGGTGCTGTCAGAGCAGAGGGAGCAGCGCCCGGTATGGGGTGGGGAAGACTTTTATCCCAACCATCCCAGGGAGCAGCTCCATGATGTTGTACCTCGTATGTTTCAGGGGAGAGGTGCCGAAGTTTCATTGAACTCACACCACCAACCGAGAGAGGTGAGAAAGGACTACTGGAATTTGCCACGTTGCAAGGCCCATGTCACCCCACTCTCCGATTTGGAGGGAAGCGGTTGATGGAGAAGGCTTCCCTCCCCTACCCTCCCTTGGGGCTTTGTGGCAAGTATGTGTCTGATAAGGAATTTACAGTAGTTACCGTAGACTTGGGCCTCTCTGGATCTAAACTGCACTGTTATCTTCCGCTTTTCTCTTCTGAGCCCCACAGGGTGACACAAATTCCTCTTTGAGCTGACTTTCATTCATATGCAGGGAGGCAAAAACGGAACAGCGGGGATAAATAAGATTCACAAATAGAAAGCCACCAACAGCGCTAACCTACTCTTGCTTCCAAGTAACCATGTAGGAAGGCTTAGGTTTTTCCTCCTTTTCCTCCGATGATGACGATGATTGTAAAATGAAAGGAAAGGAGTGAAGAAGGGAGGGAGGGAGGGAACCATCCCGAATTGAATGAGGAAAAAGAGAGACAAAATAACTAGAGTAATATTATATCCCTGCAGGATTTATGAAAATTTGATGATTTCTTCTCAAATCTCCCTAACAGTATTTACAGTCAGTCAAGCTTACTTGAGTATATATTGGTTATGGAGTACGAGCTGTGAGTGATGTCAAAGAACTGAAATGAAGTAATGTTCCTCACTGGTTTCCGCTGTGCCTCATTTTCCCCTTCTCGGATGCTGCTAGGATCTTAACTCCTACTAGACATCCTATGCTCATGACTTGTTCAGTTTTTTAACCGTCAGGATGAGCGTTCCTCTTCCTCTGGTTTCTGGCAGAAATCCTTTGGTTATCCCTGGGAACGCAGATCACCTACATCGGACTTCAATTCATCAGCTTCCTCCTGCTACTAACGGACTTGCTACTCACTGGGAACCCTGCCTGTGGGCTCAAACTGAGCGCCTTTGCTGCTGTTTCCTCTGTCCTGTCAGGTGAGTTGCTCCTGGAGTGGGAGAAGGTGGTTGGCCCTGGCCACCTCTGAAACCCTGGCTGGAGGGCATGAGTCTTTGCCCAGAAGGAGCCCAAAGGCAGTATAAAGAATAGAGATAGTAGGCATCTTCAATTTTTTTTTTTTTTTTTTTTTTTGAGATGGAGTTTCGCTCTTGTTGCCCAGGCTAGAGTACAATGGTGCAATCTCGGTTCACCACAACCTCCGCCTCCTGGGTTCAAGCGATTCTCCTGCCTCAGCCTCCCAAGTAGCTGGGATTACAGGCATGTGCCACCACACCCGGCTAATTTTTGTATTTTTAATAGAGATGGGGTTTCACCATGTTGGTCAGGCTGGTCGCAAACTTCTGACCTCGTGATCCGCCCGCCTCAGCCTCCCAAAGTGCTGGAATTACAGGCGGGAGCCACCAGGCCCAGCCCTGGCATCTTTAATTTTAAAGTGAAGTGACACATGAAATTGCATATTGGATCACCACATGCTTTACAAAATGATTTACCTCTAGATTCCTATTTGCAAGCTTTCTCAATATGTACAATCTATTGTTTGGGTTACTTTTCAGTTGTGACATACACATAGCTTTTTAAGACCAGTCTCCATTGGATAAAGTGAAAGATGCATATATAAGATGAAGAATTAAGCCAACATTGGGGTTTGGGTAGGAAGGAGTAGGGGTGGGGTGCAGTGGCCTTGGGTGCAGCATTGGCTCAAAGACTTTTTCCACAGCTCTCAGCCTCCTATTACAAATATGTGCATTTAAGGAGAAGCCCCCATTGTGGATTAGTCTTCGGGAAATGTGGTGGCATAGGGTAATGGGCTACTCCAACAGAGGCTGCGCCTGACCGCAAAAGGAGAAGGATGCTCCAAAATCATACTCCTGACAGATGGCATGAAAGCCTTTCTCTAAGGGCTCTACCTTCCTGTTTCCTCCTTAGGTCTCTTGGGAATGGTGGCCCACATGATGTATTCACAAGTCTTCCAGGCAACTGCCAACTTGGGTCCAGAAGACTGGAGACCACATGTTTGGAATTATGGCTGGGCCTTCTAGTAAGTGCTGTCATCTCCTGTAGCCCTTGGCCAGCCAGCCTTCATGAGATTTTCTACCCTCAGTTAGATGCTTATTGGGTGTCGCCCTGCCTTCTCCTCATCCCGCATCCCAGGAGTCTGTCAGCCACACACAGGGCTGCATCATCAGGACACATCCATTCTTCCCTGCCTTCTGAGAGGGTACAGGGAGGATTCCTCGGGTTTGTCTTGGGAGGATGTTGTTTTGTCCAGTTTTCCTGCTCATCAGTTATGGCAGTTGCCTCTTCATCTGGTATATACGTCACCCCGGGGAAACAAGACTGATTTTGTAGGCCTTATGGAAATGTGCTGTATTTTTAAAATATAATTCAAGGTATTGGAGGACATTTGGAATTGGAAGAAATTGAAATTTGGATTGAACTGCATTCTCTGTCAATGGCTTACTCCTCTCCTCTTCACTTCCTCCTATATCTGTTATTCTACTGAACTGTGTTGGAAAGAAAACCTCACGACCACAGTCATTCTCCAACCCTTAAAGAACTAAGGGATCATTTTAGATTTCTCTTAAAAAGAGTGACAGCAACCATCACAAAGCAACACATTCAAATTAAATATTATCTTTGAGAGCTCTTTACTTTCTCCCTTAAGAAGCACTCTTTATTCACGGCAAGTTGCCAACCTGTACTGATATTTACTGCCTGAGATAAGTGCTGAGTACTTTGAGCGCACTGAAAAGACAGTGATGGGCTCAAGTTTCCATTCAGAGAAGGAAGCCTGCAAATCTGTTGTGGGGTCCTATCCACTTTCCTGTGGTACAATCTTGTGCTATTGATTTGGGAGTCTTGAGTCTACTCCACCAGCCAGGGCATCAGCTCAGCGCAGTTCCCAGATCCAGCATTTCTCACCTTTTGACTGTCTTCAGGCCGTTCTTGGCATTACAGCTGTAGAGCTCAGGCTAGGCAACACCCATCAATCAACTCCCAGAAGCATCCCAGACTGAACCTACTGCATTTGTCAGAGGCAGCAGTTATGAACACAGGGTGCTTGCATGCAGCCTGGCTTCAACCATCACTTGTCCTCATGAAAATTCCTGTTTCCTGAGCTTCCCAGAACCACAGGGAGATTTAGGGATCTGACTTTCCAAGTTTTCTGGAATGTGTTTAATATAGTTCTCTAGTGTCTGCTTTTACTTCCTTGAATCCATCCAGATTCTCTTAATCTCCAGCTCCTGTCCCATCCATTACGAACTCCCTTAAGCCAAAACCACAGTTTTCATATGAAGCAAATTCCACTAGTACAACCTATAATACCTCATAATTTGTAGTAAATGTTTTCCTGAATGACTCTCAGAGGCTCAACTTTGTGGACGCTGACCCTAAGACTGCTATGTTCAAAACAAAGGAATATGGAAGAGGGATGATTCCTCCCAGCATCCGAGTGGGGGGACAGCTTTGGCAGGGCACGTGTGTGTGTGTGTGTGTGTGTGTGTGTGTGTGTGTGTGTTTATGTGTTGGGGTGGGAGAGGGAGGGCATACAGTAGGTTATATCCACTGCATACAGCATAGCTACAGGCCTGGGGAATCTTAGAGATTTTACAAGGGTCAGTGCAGCTTGGGAAATAGGAGTCCAAATACACACAGACACACACACACACAATAGGCACATCAGACAGAAAAGGGCGTGGCACCAACAACTCATCAATTCAATGAAAACAAATCATTTAGCTTCTTGTCTGATATTAGGACTACATGAGTCATCCTCTTTTTAGAAAGCAGTAAGTTCTCTCCTCATAGTTCTTTACCTGAAACATGGTGGAAAGTCCCTAAATCCCTACAAGGCATTAGGCTAGTCCACTAGTAGGAAGAGGTCATGACATTTTTCTCTCAAGAGAGTCCTATTCTTACTTTGTGCTGTTTGTCCCTAGCATGGCCTGGCTTTCCTTCACCTGCTGCATGGCGTCGGCTGTCACCACCTTCAACACGTACACCAGGATGGTGCTGGAGTTCAAGAGCAAGCATAGTAAGAGCTTCAAGGAAAACCCGAACTGCCTACCGCATCACCACCAGTGTTTCCCTCGGCGGCTGTCATGTGCAGCCCCCACCATGGGTCCTTTGACCGGCTACCACCAATATCATAATCAGCCCATCCACTCTGTCTCTGAAGGAGTCGACTTCTACTCGGAGCTGCGGAACAAGGGATTTCCACGAGGGGCCAGCCAGGAGCTGAAAGAAGCGGTTAGGTCATCTGTAGAGGAAGAGCAGTGTTAGGAGTTAAGTGGGTTTGCGAAGTAGGCTTGAGCCCCAGCTTACATGTCTACTGATTATCAACATGTGCTTAAGCCAATGTCCGTCTCTTGAGCATGGTTTTTAGAGGCTAGAAATAAGGGTTATCTTTAAGTCTTAAGGGATGCTTGGGTGCCACTGCTGTCTTTTCCTCTGCAGCTCGTTTCACCCACCCCACATTTCACGCATCCAGGAATTCTCTCCTCTCCTTTATTGACAGCTTTTGCACCAGGTTCTGGGCTAAACCATGGAGATAAAAAGAGGGGTAGAATACACCTCCTGACCTTAAAGGTTTGATAAATCTAGTTATCCCCCTGGAAATTGAAGAAATGGAGGTGACCAAGTTAACGGTAGCGTGACTGTGGCTCAGCTTTCCATGGTACACATGAATTGTTCTGGAAGTCACAGACAGGAAGACAGAAGCACCCCTGAGTGCTTTCCCATGTCGCACAGAGGTTTTCCACACTGCCTGGGGCAGTGTCCTGCATCCACACAGTAGGTACCCAGTAAAAGTGTTATTAAATATTGTCCCAGGACCCCTTAGGAGAGTGGTTTAACACAAGAAAGCACCAACAGCACACAGGGTCAAGGTCACTTCTAGAAACAGCCTACCAAGGCTATTCAGATGTGACTGTGGTTCCCTAGTAGACAGTCATAGGGACTTCCCAGTGAACAAGGGGGCACAGGCTCCTCTCTGGATCCCACCTTTTCATCCCTTCTGAGAAATGTACGTTATTATTTCCTCCATGAAGAATGCCACCCATCTACTTGCCCGTTCTCTTTTCCATACGGGGAAACAAACCATCCTTGATGGCTAAGAATGAGAATGGCACACAAGCATATTCCCGTAGAGTATGTATTTATTTACTCTGTAACAGTTCACATTTTAAATAGTGCTTCGTGACAATATACCAGCTGGCTCTTCTTTAATAAGGGCAATAAGGATAGCAATTCACATTCAGGGGGATTAGTTTCACCATACCACACATTTGGGGGATGGCAAAAACGGGGTCTAAGGAAAAGGGAGGGTTTTTAAGGGAAGGAAGAGGGGAAGACCCTGGCATTTGCAGAAGTCATTACTATTTCTCAGTAGTGGTCATATTGGCTTTGCCGGCCACCGCATGGTAAGATTAGAGAAAAAAGGAGCATTTCCTATTTTAGACACCTGGGTAGGTGGCTGCCTGCAAGGAGAAGAAGGTTTAGGGACACATTTCACAAGAAACCAGCACCCACATTGGTCAGATGCAGCTTCCTCAATTTTCAGCCACCACTTATACCTTTTTTACCAGCTGCAAGAGGAAGAAGAAAACTAAGCTTATAATGTTGTTTGGCAAGGAGAGATTCAAACTTATTGTAGTCAAAAGAATCTATGTCAAGTTAGTTTGCAAATACACCATGAAGAATTCAGGGACATTATGTTTTCCTAGCTTCCTCTCATCTCTTTCTGGTATTTACTCTGTAAAAACACAGTCCTCTGCCCACACAATCCCACCAGAACAGGTCCTCAGTAAACAACTTCATGTTTCACTCCTGCATAGAGTGGCTGGCTTCCCAGAAAGCCTTAACATGACAGAGAACCAGATTATGCCTGGACAGCCCAGCCAGACCACAGGACCACCATCCAAGTTTTGGGTGTTCAGCTGCCTATGAATTAATCCTTAGAATTCTATACTAAACCACACTAGGTCCCAGGCCCTTACACTCAAGTGTATTCAAATCCTCGAAATTATCTGGAATCATTCCCATACTCTAGGGTATCTTCTTCATCCCCCAAAGTCAAGCCGGACCGACAGGATGACTTCCAAACTGTTAAAACCAAATTTGCCTTCAGGATCTTAAGGCAGAGGCACCCAGAAACCTATTAAGGCCAATCTGCAGCCCAGGCAACATGCCTGTTGGATCTATTGCTACCAACCTCCTGTTATGTCATAATGCCTGTCAGTGGGTAATTAACAGATATCCCTTTAAATCTGAACTTCATAATTTTCTAGAATCCCTTTTCTAACACAAGTTAAAAGATACAAGCCCGCCCAGGTGCAATGGCTCACGTCTGTAATACCAGCATTTTGGGAGACCCAGGCCAGATAATCTGAGGTCAAGAGTTCGTGACCAGCCTGGCCAACATAATGAAACCCTGTCTCTACTAACAATACAAAAAAAAAAATTAGCCGACCACAGTGGCAGACGCCTATAGTCCCAGCTACTCAGGAGGCTGAAGCTGGAGAATCACCTGAACCCAGAGGCGGAGGTTGCACTGAGCCGAGAACACGCCATCGCACTCCAGTCTGGCAGACGGGAGCAAAACTCTGTGTCAAAAAAAAAAAAAAAAAGATACAAGCCCAGGTAAAGAGAGAACCTGAGTTGCACTCAGGGATGACCTATCAGGTTATCTAAGAAGCAGTTTTCTGCCCATTAACATTGAATTTTCTGCTATATAAACATGACCTAAAAGTTTAGAGGAGAACTTAATTGAAGTAACAGATTTGTACAGAAGAAGGGAGAAGTAAGCACTGGAGATAATTCTAAATAACCATTTATAAAAGTTATAGTATTTACAGAAGAATTTTCCCAAAATACAATGCTTCAAAGGCTCTACAGGAAAGGAGAGATGCAGGACAAAACGGCTGTATCCTGGACTCAAGTGGCAGAAGCAAAAGTCCAGAAACATATCCCTGAATAGAAGAGAAAGTAGAGTGAGAGGAGCTATGGAGGATGCCCTATAGAAAAAGATGCAGAGAAGAGATACAGCAGGATAGGGACATCAGAGGCTCCTGACTTCCAGTTCTCCTCTAAGTTGAAGACAGCATGCACACATAAACTTCTGATGTAGCCACGGAAAAAAGATCGTGACTGGCAGAACCATCAGAACCACATATAACACAACATATGGACTTGGTCAGAGGTGGGTCACTGAGACTACATCCTCTTGCTCCCCTTGTGATAGGAATATGGTTATTCTTGTGGCCACTTAGTAGACACTGGATGGAAAAATCTAAGGAAACAGGATATTAAAAGAGAAGAAAATGCTGTGATGGATAACTCAGTCTTCCACTACAAATCTTTCTCACTCTGCCTACAGTGTGGAAGTAGCTAAGGTACAGGTGGGAAAGAAAAAGGAGAGAAGTAAGTGGCCCTCAAAACAGAGGTAGGGCATCTAGAAGTCTCAAAGTGACCAAACAAACCAGATATATTTCAGAAGGACAAGAAACTGGATCCCTGAAGCTTAGGACATATCTGGAAAAGAACTTCACCGTAACACTAAAAAATATACACACACACGGCGTAACATACAACAAAATGTTTCCTAGTCATAGACTTCACTGGCTTTCCCAGCAAGAGTTCATAAATTAGACATACCAAAAAAATAAAAAGATTCACATTTCCAAATGGTCCACGCAGAGTTCCTAGAGGGGGTTAATGCAGGAACTGAAAAGGTAGGTAAGATGCCCCAGCCAAATAGATCATGCTGTTGTCAAAGTACTCCATCATGCCTTCCCAAGTGCTTTATGACCATCAGGGAGGTGATAAAATGAGGATGAAGAAGTCCTCTCTCCACAGAACAGATTTTACAGTGACAGGAGAGTAGAAAGGATATCCACTCTGTTCACTTCTTCTGCAACTGAAGATTCCATCAGATTAGATCTATGGAAAAAGAGTTAGCAGTGACTTTATTGTTTTTCATGGTAGAGATGTTAAAAGAAAAGGAGGAAAACTAAAGGTCAGAATATTCCTCTATTTTCCTGCCATTTTCTTTAGCCCCAATAGCCTGTAAACATCTCCTCCTTCCAGAAAGGCCCAGAAACATTGTCCTTTTCCATGATAAGCTTTGGAACTTTGAACTAGACTACAGTATTTCTTGGGAGTAAGGCTGGGGAGAGAACATTAGCATTTGAGCAAGATGATTCTTTGGAGCATGTAACTGCTGCAAGCCCTGCATGATGTCAGCATCACTAGCCCCAACCCAGAAAATACCAGTCTTATCCACCCCTGTCAGTCATTGGGACAATAAAAACCATGAGCCCACATTGTCAAATGTCCCCTAAGGAAGATGCTATTATTTCCAGCTGAAAACAACTAAGAACCATTTCTTCATGGTCAGAAGGCATCCATAGGAAACAAGTGTTGGTCCAAAACAACTGTCTTGATACCCGTCTATTCAAGAAAGCTCCCCATTCTCCCTCCTTTGTAAAGGACAAAGCTGGAATTGGTAGTATTTGTCCTAAACTCTCAAGAGTAACAACATTTCAGCAGCCACTCACCTCGTAGGGAGCTTCAACAAACTTGATCCTAGAGAGAAATCTTCGCAGTTCCCCACGGCCAATTTTGGGGGTGGACTCCTGTAGCTGGGCCATCTGGCCCTCCATCAGTGCCCACCGTAGACTAAGCTTGCTGACCACCAGGGCTGCTGGATGGCCTTCGGAGCTTGGCCCTGTTGTTCTGGTAACATAAAAGGCATCTTTCCAGAGGTCGTTAATTCCAACTGAGGAAGGACAAAAACAAGAGCAGTTAACAAGGACACATACCGTCTACTAACAGGAGACGGGTTTGGCTCAACAATACATTTATTTACTCATTAGTTCACACAGGAAATGTACTGAGCACTGAATAAACAGAAGGCAGTGAGCCGGCCCACGGGTACAAAGAGGGGAAGAACTGGATGCCGGTAAAGCAGCATGCTCTTCCTGGTCTTTGCACCTTTACTCCTCTGAAGCTATTTCCAAAAAAGCCCACTTTGGGAACCGAGAGAATCTGCCCCTATGGCGAGAATTCAGGAGAAAAGTGAGCCCGAAACACTAGGGAGCCCGAGAATTCCCAAACTGCCAGTGCACGGTCACAGAAGTGATTTACCTTGCCAGTGTTTATTTTGCCTCATCTTTAAAATACAAGTTGTAATAAAAATGGTGTCCAGATTCTTAATTACAATTATTTAATGTCCACTGAATATTTTATGCTGCTGTCGGAAAAAAAACAGCTGACTCAGATCCAATTACAGGATTTTCCAAGCTCACTCATAGCTCCTACCCTCAACTCCCCAACCAGTGGACAGGTGTGCCTGCAAGTTCCAGGTAAGCTGTTATTCCCCGTGTATCCCAATAACTCGAGAGCTACAAGCACCAGCTGCAGCCCAAGACCACTGAGTTTGTAAGTAGACAGCCAAGTCCATAATTAGCAAGAGAATGTGGAAAGAAAGGAGATGTGGCTGTCTGGTCTTCTCCCACTCCGGCACTCCCTGACCTGCCAACAGAAACAGCAGACTCCATGAGGCAAAAAACCGCTGAGAAGGAGATTACCAGACAACCTAGACTAGCAGGCAGCAGAGGCTGCGATCCTAATGCTTTGGTTTCCCGAGTTGAGGGTCTCCCATATAGGATCCCATTTTGTGTACAGTGTTATTTAGACAGATATATGAAGTAGAAGAACACTTCCAAAATGTTAATAGTGGTTATGACTGGCCAGATTATGGCCAGTTTTCTTTCTTCCTTTGATTTTTCCCCTTTCTCCAATTTCTATGTAATGTTCATAGTTACTATTCAAA